AGCTATGCAGTCCTTTTCGCTGAGCATGCTTTGTCGAATAAACCGTTTGTCCTTGAAGGACCGAGTTCTGCGACGGGTATTCCATCTGTTTGTGTAATTATTGGAGACCCATTAATAGGATGTGACCACAATACGGCGTTCTACAACATGAATATCAGGCCGTCTGAAAAGCGCAGAGTAATAAGGAGGCCAGTACCCCAAATACACCTTATTGATTGGAGCACATTTGACAAGCTGCTTAAGAACATGTGTTGGGACCGATTCTTCCCCACATCAGATTCGACCATAGACGTAGGCGAATTCGGGAAAAATATCATCACATATACGGACACTAACAACTACGTCGGAGGTAAACACAAACCCCTTTGACGGCCGATGCAATAACTCCTCTAAGATCACTTCCAAGCTAAAGTGGTAGAGACCCATGCATCGCAAAAACAAAGGTATCGCCACATTAATCCAAATACACTAAATCTTACTGAAAATTGAACACCAAACCCAAGAGGTTAGAACTGCCCAGAAAACTCGGGCTGTCGGTAAGACAGAGCAAGCTCGTGAACTGATGTATTTAATCTGAAGAAGAAATCCGAAACCACCACACGAAATTCCAAGCCTACTTTTAGACGACGGCACAGCAACGGGCGACATAGTCCAAATGTGGAATTCGATGAATTCCTACTTTGCTACCTCTTTTACTACTGCGTCATCTGTATCCTCTCCTCTCCGCCCAAGAAAAAGGGGAAAGGTACTATGTACTATCCCTCTGTGTCTAAAGGACGTACAGATAACTATTACATCCACCAAACCGACATTTCAACCGTGATCTGATGGTATTCCATCACAGCTATAAGCCTAGGTAGTGAAAACATATCCCTCCTCATGTTGAAAGTTTTACACTGTCATTAATCACTGGCTGCTTCCCGCCTCTGGACAAATTCCATAATTGTGCTGAAACCCAAAGGCGGTCTACGAGATCGAATGTCAAACTATCGACCAATAAACCATACTTTCGCCGCCTCGTTGGCGGCATCAGAAGTGCATGGGTGGAGAAATAAGTGACAATCTCGAACAAACTAACATTAGTTGATCGTCAGACGAGCTGCGCACAAACTGCTGCTCACGCGAATCAAGTCAACCAACTCACCTCATCCTTGGAGCTGTGAGCTATGCGCAACCGCACTTGGTCAGTGATTGCCGCACCAGCGTCTCCGGATGCGTGTAGCCAACTACGAGGGGGAAAAGTGGGTGCAGTTTTTGTGAAAGCCCCCTACGAGTCGGTGTTGCTCCTCCCAACACTGATACCTTACACGGCGGTTACTTCGAATCCAACTTTGGATCGCTTACCGCTGTGCCAAGTGCTGCTCCTGGATCTTAGAAGCATAGTAATCAAGGCGTCAGACTTTAACTACTAGGCCCCGAATTCTACCCCAGCTCAGGTTATTTCCATCTGATGAGTCCAAAGGAGGACGAAACCGTCTATGGGTTGTCACGGTTAGGAGACGCAACACCGAAACACCTCCATTTCGTATACGGTCCTTGTGTTCGGAATGACCGAGGTCCACTCCAAAGTGAACCGAGGTACTCCAAATCCTCCTGCGAGTCATTGATTTTCGTTTCGTGCAAGCAGCGCACGTCGATACCCAGGATGTCCAACCTGCGTGCAAGTGCAGCCTGTTGACCTATTTGTCCCCGAATGCGAACGCTGAACGCCGGGACAACTTTTGACTGCTGTCCATAAACATCCAATGGGTGGTGCGGGAAGATAGCCACAGATGGCATAGCTCCAATGACATCGCGGTTGCTGCCAATTAACTTGTGAATTATAGACAAGGTTAGTAATGGGGTCGCCAGGGGAGTAAGAGAAACAGATGGGAGATAAAGAAGGAAAGAGTCCGTAGTTGCATGTTTTCGCTTATCCACTCTTTTATGTAGCAGGTAAGGCGACCCTTGATAAGCTGTGCACTGGCAGATGCAGGATGTAGTTTTAGAAAATAGTCATGATTATACGTGGGCTGATATAGTGCTAGGGTGAGCGAACCTAGCCAGAAGAACGTTTAAGACCCTCAACCAAGTCGTTTGGCTCGGGAGCTTGTTCGCAATTTAGCGAGGAATCGGCAATTATCTGACTTTACAGAAATGGACGCAACCCAGAGAACTAGGTGACTGATTTTGTCTGACCTTTTCACCATTGACGAATCTTGTAGGAGTAGCGCTCAAGTGGCCTGTTGAGCACCACGCAGTATAGCTCAATGGGTCGAAGAGGTACGCAAGCTGTCACACCAAGTTAAGGTCCAGGAGGGTGCCAATTGGCTTTCAGGTGTGCGAAAAATATCATCTTGCGACTTGCTTCCAGTGAAAGTGCTCCTGGGAATAGCGAACATTTCATACTTTCCTGGAGCAATGCACATATCATTGTTTCAAACGTCTCATTTCGTAGGACGCTTCATTTCTCAGCTACATATCAGTTTCTCATTCCTCATTATGAATGTCAGTGCGTGTGATAAGCTGTTCCGCGCATGTGTTGCCATTATCTACACTTTCCCACTCGGCCTGAGTCACACTGTTTGTGGTGGTTTCCTCTGGTATCTAACCTTCCGACTTCGCCAGTTGGTAGCACCGCTGTTTTATTGCGACTACACTTTTGTTTAAATTAATGGGTTTATTCCATTTAATTTTTATTTCTACATGTATACCTGTCATATCCTTCTCATAGATTGTTAGTCTATTTAGCAACTCTTTCGATGTTCTTAAAAATAAACATAAGATTTTCCTGCATTGCGCGATATTTTGTTTAGTGGCTGGTTCCCTAATGTGCTGATTACCTCAGCCGAAGACCGCGTTTGTCGTATCTGGATCGAAGTGCTCAACCCGCGTCTGGGAGCTGCTGTTTACCTCGATGAAGAGAACCAATCTACAGGATTCACTCAGTGGTGGTCATCGAAGCCAGCCGACGTGAGCGATTATTATAGTCACCCTTATTTCTTTCATCATGTTGCATAAAGCTTATCTCCTCTGATATTACCAACATGTACTACCCGACTCACATTGTCATGCTACTTCTTCTAACTGGCACCAAATCTACCATCACACCATTTACTTAGCACATACCCAAACTTTGAGGAATTTGGTCTTCCTTTGATCATCTTAAGCATGAATCCACTATCCAACCATTTTTGAACTTTCCTACTCTTTTATGCGATCGCTGGTTCTTTCTGTAGTTTCTCATAGGTCCCTTCTGGCACTATGCAGTACGATTGTGAATGAGTCTAACATACACTTTAACTCGCTCTCACACGTGGATCCCTTGTTTCAACCCTCTTACATCGACTGTCATCCATCTCATCATATTACGTCCCAATTCATGCCAAAGCTGTGGCATATAACTGTTAATTCTTAGCCTCCTTTGTTTGTTATAAGTATTCACAAAAGATTGTGTAGGTAAAATCGAATTTAAAGTTGCCGTTTGACCCACTTTTTGAAATACCACTATGCACGAAGTTGGAAAGGATGTCCTTATTGGAACTAAACATTTTTTTGCTGCAGCCAATGGTTTGTATGGTATTTAGCTGCTCAGCGTTTTGGTAAACGATTTTCTGTTGTTCCGAGTCAACGCCTACCGCATTACATGAGGACAGCGATGTTGTTGTGCCTGCTTTCCTGCTCGTTCCTTCCTGCTATGACGTCATAATCGTTGTTTACTTGATTAGGGAAGGTACAAAATCTGAGAACATCCGGCAAGTAGTCAGACCACCTGAATCTCTTTAGACTCGGTTTAGCCATTCGAATCAAATTGCTCGTCACTGCCTTACATACATTTGCCACCTTCGATTCAGGCCGTACCATCCGATACTACCCGTTTTCGTCCACTATAGATGATCGAAGTTGTCTGTCTGTTTTCGAATTCATACCTCAGGGGAGTAGTGTTACTACCCGCGTTTTCCCATCGTGCTGTTAACCGTTTGCATGAATTCACCGCCTCATGTTTATGCTTTCGAACTAGAGGCCCTGGTTGGAGTCCTTAATTGTTCTCCCGCTTCGGCTTGGTTACCCTGGCAGTCTCTCAATGCGCTTATAGATAGCAGCTTATCCCCAAAACAAACCATTGACATCGTTTTCATCGTTGTTCATGATGTTATGATCCTACTTCCGGCCCCGGGTATTGTTAATTTGGTAGAGTGATTTGAGCTTTTCCCAGACATGGAGCAGTGTCGGTTTCTACCTTAAAGCAACAACAATCTAGTGGCCGCGTCATCTTTTGCTCCGATTTTTTATTTTTCCATTTAACATTTAATCATAAGTTGCTGGATTTCCGCTTTTTCTTTTCGCTTTGACCACCTCCATCCATCCTTTCGGGTATAGCCTCAAGACAGGTCGCTTCTACCGCTATTTACAAATTTTGAAAGCTGTTCACCAGTACTCCGACACACAACTTATCCCAGATCTTTAGCCTCATTCGATAGAGGAATATCTCAGCTATCTAACTAGCCCTCACGCGTCCCATTCATTCACCATAGGTAGCAGCTACAGAGTAGATTACGTTTCCAATGTGGACTCTTCTCATTTAGGCGCCACCCTGACGACAAGTTACTTCAGAGACATTAGGGATAGCACGATGTCGTTTAAGTTCGGGTCGTGGACATTTTAACTGAGTGTGTGCTTTTGAATCTATCTTAGTTTTAACAAAATCTGGAAACCGATCTGGCTGGCGGTACTACCATTTGATTCATTTATTGCAATTGTAAGTGAGCATTAATCGACGCAGCTACTAGGGATTCTTCCATAACCTCGACACTCTCACCGAGGCTCCTCTACTCTACTGCACACCACTCAACTACGCACTGACGATGTCACCCCCATTGGTGACGAACCGCTTGCAACAAAATTGGCCATCTCAGTGAACAGTTCAACCGCCATCTGAACAACCTGAGCTGCCAGTCTTCAATTCTATAGCCAACACTAACTCATTTTAACCCTAACTTTGCTCGCTCTGCATCGGCAAAATGTGTTTCCCATCATTTTTCTACTTTCTCCAGCTTCCATCTACTATCACATTACCATTGAATCAGTCTCATCTGTTCGACCTTACGGAACTTAAGCTTTGGAAGTCAGAAGCATTTGTTACAGAAACTTCTTCAAGTCCACAGCGCCGTTCAACCTTTCCTCTTGCACCTGCGTTACTACGTCATCCAGTATTACGCCACTTCTTGGAATTGTGGTAAGTTGTCTCAACTTTGTCTTCTACTGACTTTCATGCATCAGTTGTAGGACATCTGTGAGCTCCCTGTTCTGTGCACCAATAACCAAAGGCACAGCCATCCTAATCAGCATCGGTGCTTTTCTTGGACTAGCTGTTTAGGAGAAAGCGAGTTAACACGTTTTACTAAAAAAATGGGTCAGCACGTCCACTGACGGAGACAGAAAAGTAAATGAAGTCACTGACGTTCATTTCCATTTTAGTGGAGGGCCCATCAGTTAAGCGGTTTCTAGCGAGCCTCATCACTTCACTATGTGCCTTATGAAGCCACGAACGTGCATGCTTTCCATCGTCCAATGTGTACCATCCGACGACCAATTGCTAGTTAGATATTCCTCTGCGCATCCTTAGCGCCAGTACACACTGTTACTATCCTGGTCTACTCGCTAATCTTGCCATTCATCACTCATGAACTGGATTGCAATATGACCCATTCAAATTGTTTCCCAAACAACTTTGAGGCAATGAGAAACTTAAGTTAGATCAGGTAAATATAAGTTTTATATATCCGAAATGGTACACTTTCCGCATTATACAATATTCACAGCGGATGTTTTAAATCAACGTCATTAAAAATGTGCCATTGCACACTTGGAAAATGGCATTAGAAGTGCAACTGTCACTCAACTAAACGATCCCGAATCTACGTTCTATTGATGGCACGGAGTCGAAGGCCAGTTTATCGATCCGGACGTGGGTTTCCTAAATCACAAAATGCCTACTGATACACGCAGTATTTCAAAGTCCATTTTTAAAAATTGGCGAAGGATAGCGTTGATGACCTTGTAACTGATCTAACGTATGAACGCGTCAAAGAAACTCCGTGTAAAATGATAAATCTGCAGCAGGTAAGGGCGATCTTCCAGTGAAAGAACAACAGCCAATTTAAAGGTCCCGACAAATTATTCATTCTCACCAACTCGGATCATAAACTGTTCCTCGCTTCAGTTCACTCTCAACGCAACACTTCCCCATTCATACCTTGAAAGTTTCACGGGTAGTTCACTCCGTTCCCTAGGATTGTCATCTCAAATTCTCAGCTAGTGAGCAGTAGCCACAATTAGAAGGCTGTGTTTACTTTCCGTATCTATGGTCAGATGCCGAACTGAAAGTGATCATCTGTTGCGCGTGCCCCCGGTGTAAGTCGCGTGTAAACCAGTCCCCACCAAAACTTGCTCTACTGAACCAATTATCTCTGCTAAGTTAGTCCGCGGCTGTAGCGGTATCGATCACCCTTTCCTATTGCTTAATGCCGGCTCGTAGCCTAAAGGTAACAGGCTTGTCTTGAAGTCTGACGGCGCAGGTTCGAGTCTGCGTAGGGAGAGGGCGACCCTCGCAGTATCCTTAGCCCACCTGCGGCTGGTGGTGACTGGGCCGTAGAGAAGCGTCGGTACTGCGCACCGGCGTACTGTTGAAGCCTTTTTCTTTTTTTCTTTCTTTTGCTGAAGTTATATGTATATATCCATCGCGACGAGACTAGACCTTAACATGGTGCGGTAGTGTGCCTCAGTAATCCATTGAGCTATGCTGCGTGGTGCTTTTTTGCACCTTCAGAACAACTCATACCAGATTGGTCAATGGTTAGAGCCCAGACAAACTCAGTCTCCTGGCCCTCCAGGTTGGGGGTTGGAGTGAGGGTGGCTCCTTACTCCATAAAATGGGCTCTCCGTAGTCCAGTACCAAAACCCCACTGTCTTGCGTAAAGGTATTTGAATCAAAGGCTTTAGTTGAGTATCCTAATCCTTCTCCTGTCTAGGCCTGGGCAACTTGACAGTATTCTGCCCACACAATACACCATGACCTTTCTTCCAGCAATTTTTTGATGATCTGGCAGTCGCAGACGATAATAAACGGTGCCCTATCTTCTGCATCGAGCAAGTGGATAGGGCTTTGGATGTTACTGCCCAAGCCTACCCACCTGCTTATTCTCCCTCTTGCGCTTTTTCATCCTTAGCGTCCCGTTCCAATTTCACTTTCATTCCCCCGTTTTCAATCCACAATTTTGGCCCTCTGCACCTTGCTTGAATAATCGCTTGTCTTCTAGTTTTAACTCGCACACAATCGCAGGACATCGCTCCAATCCAGTCGACAAGTCCATATTCAACCAAGTGGACAACATCGGATCATCCGTTTCCCTTTGGAGTCCTCGAGTCTCGCTAAGACTGGCATGCCTCAAGGTGCGCACTTTGCAACAGATTGGCCAACAGGCAGCAATTGCCCGCACACTAGAGACCCTATCGATCGATATTTGCTGTTTATCAGAAACCCGCCTGCAAGATTCGAACTCCGTGCCTACTCTGCAATCTCCCACCTACGACACGTGCGGCACCTTCTCATTGCGCCTGTTTGGCAATGATGCAGCGTCAAATGCGGGTCCAACTGGCGTCGGAATTGTTTTGAGTCCCCGGGCTGAAGGTGCCCTGATCGACTGGATCCCAGTCGACAGTCGGATGTGCGCCGCCGCTGACTCATTCCAAGCTTCGAAGTCCTGGGGGAACAAACGGTGCCTGTTTGTCATTGCAGCCTACGCCCCCACAAACTGCAGCCCTGATTCGGTGCAAGATGATTTCTATCAGCATGGTAACGATCTTCGTTACAGGCGGAGCACGGATACTGTGGTGCTGGCTGGCGATCTAAACGCCCAAGTCGGAAAATTGTCCTCTGATGAGCTTCATCTGGGCGGACAGCATGGTGTAGGCTCCCGTAATGATAACGGTGAGCGATTGCTACAGCTGTGTGAAGATGCTCGTCTCTTTCTCGCGAGCCCAAACTTTCGACACAGCACCCGCAGAAGCGTGACTTGGTGCCCACCAGCTTCGCACCAGCCATGAATGCAAATCCATCACATCGCGATCAATTACCGCTGTAGAGGCTGTGTCCGAAACTGTCGCTCGATTTGCAGCTCGAGCGTGGACTCTGACCACGCACTTGTATGTGCTGACCTGCAGGTGCGTTTCCGTGGACGTCCGCATCGTCGCTCTGAGCTCATTGATACCAGCCAGCTGGCGAAGCCAGGTGTTCTGAAGGTGTACAAAAGTGCGCTGACTTCCGGGTTGAGTAAGCGTTCACTGAACACCGTCGAAGATCACTGGTCGCATATTCGTCAAACGTTATTATCAGCAGGTTTGTCTTCATGTGGCAAATCAAATTGCCAAAGTGGACAATGGGTCTATACGCAGTCTCTGGAACTTATGGATGCTCGCCGATGTATTTCGGCTAGAAGCGAATACAATGAGACTCGTGAAAATCTCAGGGCAAAACTACGTGCTAGCCAGAAGAGAGACCGCGAAGCCTGGTGGTCTCACCGTGCCTCTGACATGGAAACAGCCGCTGTCCTTGGCAATCTTCATAAGTTATTCAGTCTGCTTCGGGAAACAGGCAGTAGGAGACCTGGTTTTAGCGAGATAATACGCGATGAGAGGGGACAGCCGATCCACAGTTTGTCAAAACGCTTGGAGCGTTGGGCCGAGCACTTTGCATGGCAGTCTAACCATTCTGAGCTATCGCTTTCTCTTTCGGGCATTGAGCGCCTTTTTCCCTGGACCGTCTCCTTGAATTCGCCCTCACCCGCAGAAGTCGAACGTAAGAGCAGCCTGTTGAAATTGCATAAGACCACAGGGGCACATAGAATTACTTCGGCCCTCTTCAAATTCGGTGGAGCTGCTCTAGTAGATGATTTACATGAGTTTCTAGTGAAACTTTGGGAGCAGGAAACTGTCCGGACAGACTGGATCGGCTTCGTTATGTTCCAATTTAGACGGGAGGCTCCCGTTCGGAATGCGGCAATCATAGATGGATCAGTTTGATCTCTGTTGCATCTAAATTGCTTACGTCTGTCGTTCTCCACAGACTGACTGGCACTCGTAAAGGCTAGATCCGTGAAGAGCAAACGGGGTTTCGTTGAGGTCGGGGCTGTATCAACCACATCTTCAATTTGCCTCAATTGTTGGAGCATCGCCATATTCATTGGTGACCCACTGTTGTGTTTCTTGACATCGAAGGTGTCTTTGACTCAGTCGATCGATGTGCCCTTTGGGACTGTTTGTTGAGGAAAGGTGTGCCTGATAAATATGTAAACATCACCAAAGCGCTGTACGCACATAGTTCGGGCAGGGTGAGGGTTTATGGCAAACTCTCGCCACCCTTCAGTATCACCAGCGGTGTGAGACAAGGATGCCCGCTGTCACCTTTCCTCTTCAACTTCGCTATTGATGAATTCATGGAAACAGCGTTCGCTGGACACGACCTAGAAGGTGTGGAGCTACTCCCTGGTGAGCGACTTCTTGACTTAGAGTATGCAGATGATATTGCCCTAATCCGTGACAGCTCCCAAACATGCCAAACAGCACTGGACCGATTAGGACTGGCTGTCAATAATTTTGGGCTATGCTTTGCTCCATCGAAATGCAAAGTACTTCTCCAAGATTGGCAGGGACCCAACCCTGCGCTAACGCTTGGTGGTGATCTGCTAGAAGTTGTTCAGGAATTTAAGTACCTGGGCAGCTATATTAGCACCCATGGGATTGAAGATGAGGTTACGAACCGTATAGCAAAAGCTCGAGGTGCTTTTGGCAATCTCCGCCACCTGTGGCGCAGACGCGACATTACTCTCGCCCTCAAGGGCAGAGTTTACAACGCAGCCGTCCGTTCAACTCTCCTATATGGTTGTGAAACCTGGCCCATCAGGTCGACAGACATGAAGAGGCTAGTCACGTTCGATCATTGCTATCTTCGCAGCTTAGCTCATGTTTGGTGGGAGCACCGCGTGAGCAATGAGCGTGTTCGGCGTTTCGCATTTGGTGCAGGAAGGGCTAGTGAACCGCTCATCACCATTATATCACACACCAAGCTCCGATGGCTAGACCGCGTGTTGCGCTTGTCAGCACACCGACTCTTGCGACGTGTATTGTTTGCGCGCCGGGGGTGGAGTGCGGTTGGAAGAGGAGGAGGGGAGGCCAAGC